ATCTGTTTTGGGCTATCGGTGGAGGATAGCTATGATTGTTGTGGAAAATGCATGAGGATTAGGAAAAATTGAAACTAATCAATTGAATTATGTCATTAAATATGACAGTTTGAGTAAACCATTGAATATGTCCATTGATGAGTCATTGTATATGACAACGTGTTTGAATACATTGTATATGTATCATTATATGGGAGGAGTGTCACGACCCAAACCCGCTCCTATGGGTTTAGCACCGTAACCGGCCAGTAATCCGAGATTATCGAAGGCCTGCTTAACAGTAATACAGTAATACAGAGTACAGGGGCTGGCAGAAGCCAAAACAGTAATTAAAAGATGTCCAATGAGCTGCGACAGTCTGTACGCAAAAAGAATTTTCAATACACATGTACAATCAGTACCAAAACAGTATGTACAATATATATAATCATTCAGGACAGGGACTTAATCCCTATTAGAACAGTACAGTACAACATTATTCATTCTATACAGTAATTACATAACAGATACAAAAAGAGGGAAACTAAAACACCCCAAAAGCCCTGACTTGAAGGACTTGGAACCTCGCAGTGAGGCACAAAGGTTGGCTTGACAAAACAGGAGTTAAGCTCGACACTTTTAGCAACGGTCTGGTGCCTGCACACCTACATATATATATGAGCAGTGAGCTAAAGTCCAGTGACTAACATTTGCGTAAAGAGGTTAAGAATGAATGTCCTTTCAGTATTGAAAATAGTCATTTAAACAGTATATCAGTCATTCAGTTTGTGGCTCATAAATCATGCCACACAGTAATTCAGAAACTATAATAGTCATATGTGGTACACCCCATAGCAAAATAGTACAGTAGGTCTTAACAGACCGAGCAGTCAATGATGGCCATCAGTAATGGTTCCAAACATGGGAACCGACAGAGATCTCTGTAACAGTAGCAGTAACAGTTCAGTGACAGTATATTGCTATAGATGCCACGAATACAGTTCACAAATAGGACATCATTCATTCAGTAACAGTATCATTTCAGAAAACAGTACAGTTTAATTGTTCAGAAGATAATCATTATTGAACATATCTTTACAACATCGTTACTCACAGAGTTCTGGGCTACAGATAAGCTAATACGCATCCTTGGATGTCAACCCTACACAGTTACAGAGTGAACACACACTAAGCTACACAGTTGGGAAATAATAACTCAATCCCTAATTTGCCTCGGTGTGGTTCTACATCAATATCCTCATTAAGATGCCTTAGACTAGGCCCAAGAATGCCTAGGATGGAATAAGGATGCAAAGATGCACTTTAAAAACATTTTCAGAAAACAGAGGTCCCGTTCGAGCGTGGGTTTCCCCGCTCGAGCGGACATGCAAACAAAAGGCTCCACTCGAGCGTAAACTTTCCCGCTCGAGCGGACTGCAAAAGTACTGGATATGTGAAAATCACACTCGATGGGCGCTCGACACCCGCTCAAGCGTGTGACACAAGTCCTCGCTCGAGCATGCAAAACCCCACTCGAGCGGACTGTAAACACAACAAAAGTGCTGGATACACGAATTTCCTGCTCGAGCGCCACTTACCCCGCTCGAGCGGGAGTCCAAAATCTAGAATTTCCAGATTTGAACCTCAAGCTCAAAATCAAGTTTCAATGCATCAAATTCGATCCTTTTGGACTAATTTTCTGGAAAACACTTCAAAACTCATAATGTGACATATTTCAAAGATCAATTTGAGAAATCAAAGCCCAAAGGTAGTTCAATTAACATGATTTTAAACCAAAGTCCAAGAACAATATTTCAAATGTGACATGCATGTCTTTAATCAACTTCAAAGCTTCAAAGCAAGCTCAAATGAGTCTAAACTTCCAAAAACATGATGAATTCTTGTACTAGAACCATAATATGAACATGTATGTAACAATTTCCATGAAAGCAACCTCAATATGCTAGAACATGTACATGCATGCATGGATTAAGCTTCAATTCAACATATTAGGACCAATTCTAGACTTAAATCACTAGAGGCTCATGAACCATGCAAGAATCAACTCAAATGCACAATTAAAAGGAAGAACCCCCTACCTTAAGTCTTGAGTCTAGAGTTTGGAAGCACAATCATGCAAATTTCCTTAAATTCTACCAAGTTTCCAAGCCAAAATGAGATGAAATCAAGCTATCTCCCTATTCTCTCTCTTTCTAGTCGGTTTTGCTTAGAAATGGCTGATGAAGTGAAATGGTAGTGCCAAACAAATGAATCAAATACATAGCCTAGAGTTGTCCACTAAGTGGCAATATTAAAAATAACCCAATTAATGTAATTTAACATTATTTAAACCAATTTAATCATACCAAATCACATTTCAAATAAATATACCATAAAATCACATTAACTCTAATTAACACAAAGCACTAATCAATTTCAGATTCGGCCGCCGATAAGGCCTTCAATTTGAAGTTTAAAGCATAAAATATGAACATATAATTTAACACTCAACAGATAGGATTGCATTCAAACCAGCACAATCAATCAATAAGTTTAGTAATTCAGTCAATCAGTCAGTTAACATGCTTAATCATGGATTAGCACTAATCAGTGGTGTTATCAGTAAACAGTGCTGAGGGTTGTTACAAGGAGATAGGGAATGTACTTCATTGTTTGAGAGAAGATAGGGGATGGACTCCATTGATAATTAAGTTGGCCGGAGTGTCCAAGGTGAAAATCCCGAAATCTTATAAATTTATGGGTGCCGGTTCTCTCGGACGTAGTTCCGTAAAACGGCAAGAAATAGAAGTGTTGGATTGATGAATGCATAAAGTTGTGAACCATTGAGTTGAAATCTCATTTTGGTTGTTTTGATAATTATGAACTTGGTAAATAGATTTACCCAAAATAGATGATTGGAAATGAATTGAGACATGGTTATGGTCATAGAAATAATATGTGTGGTTGAGAAATATCCCACATTTATTTGATGCTTATGCCCTAGTTAATTCTCATATATTGTGTAGCATATCTTTGCTAGGCTTTGGCTCACCCTACTTGGGACACTATTTTCAGGTACAAGTGACATGCTGCCTCAACGGGCATAGCTTGAGAGATTTAGGAGCTGAAGGCTCCATTTTTACTATTTCATTTTGTATTGGATGCTTTCTTTTAAGCCGATGGCTTTACTTGTATAGAGACTAGACTCTTCTTTTGTTATAACCAAGTGATAACTTGGAAAGATGTAAGTTCGTAGGACATTTATTTTGTTGTTATCAATTAGAGTTACATGCTATAGTTTCAGGAAGAATATTTGTGAAAGTGTAATGCATGTAATATTTTTTGTAATACAGACTCTGATGAATGAAAATGTAACATTTTTATTATGTTTACGATTCTTATGAATGGTTGATTTATGTAATATTTTGAGGGCGTTACAGATAATAAAATGAAGAATTAGAGCCAAGATCAAGTTTATGAATTTAAATAAGAAATTAATTACTTTGGGTTTGATTTTGGAATATCATGCATGAATTGAGTCGAATTTCTACATGCATGGATAAATTCTACAAGTTTTAATATTCTAATTGTACATGCATCATGGATTTCTAATAATTGATTTCATGTTTTGATGAAATAAGAATTAAGCTTTGGAAATTTATGGGTTTATGAACAATTAGCTTAATTCATAAATTAAAGGAGTTTTGATATAAATGATTTGAAATTTATCATATTATCTTGATTATTTAAGAGTTTGTATGTTTAGACAAACCATGTATAAACCCGAGTTTTGAAATTATTTTGAAAGCTCAATTCAAGTTTTAGAATTTGTGAGTTTAGAATTGGACTTGATATGAAGAACATGAATTGAGTTGAATTTGATGAATTTGAAGTTTGTGTGTACATGTATGTAAAGGATTGTCACAAGTTTGCATATTTGAGTACAAACATGTATTTCATAATGAATCGAAGGCTATTTGGCACATGCAAGCATGATAATGTTGAATTCCATGAAGTTGATCATCAATTGTACTATTTAAGTTGAAAATGAAGCCTATATTTCACATGCATGTATATTTCAAAATGATATGGAAATTAATTTGCATGAGCCTTGAAGTTATGAAGTGAGTTTGATATGATTCGACTTTATGAGATGGATTTATGTAAATTTGAGATTCAAATCTTGTAAAATTGGCCCTTATATTCATGTTAAAAGTTATATATAAGTCTTATGATATTAATTACATTGGTTGGAACCAAGTTTGAAGCTCAAACATAATTTGAAAAAATCCAGAACTCGACATGTCCGCTCGAGCGAGGGATGTGTTGCTTGAACGTGGAAATCGAGCTCCCAGAACTTTTGCAGAGATTTGTATTGTCGCTCGAGCGGCAAAGTGTACACTCAAGCGAACCCTGTTTCGTAAGGCTTCTCGCTTGAATGTCGAAAGTCTCGCTTGAGCGTAAAATGCAAGTACTAGTACTTTTCAAACCAAAGAGGAGCGGCCGAAGCTACACTCGAGCGGAGAGCCCTGTTTTAGAAATTTTAAAAAGTTATTCTATACTTCGTTTTCCATTCTCTTTCTTTCCAAAGCACTCTTAGGCATGCATTAAACATTGTAAATGAATTAAAGAACATAAAAGAAGCCCAAAAATGTTAAATAAGTTAAAGAACAGAATAAATGGTATTGTGACTCAATTTCTATGTGTATTATGAATTATGTAGGGTCAACTATAAGGGCGAACCCGGCATTTGAACACTGTGAGTAATAACTCTGTAAAGTTATGTTTAACTTTAATTATTTTCTGATAATATGAAATGATTAGTTTTCCCGGAATGCTATGTTTTGTGTGAATGAATGATCGCCTAAATTTTTGAAATGTATTCATGGCATCCATAGCATTATGTGATATTTTGCGTCCCTTTATGGGTCATTATAATGCCTTTATGGCCGTCCCTTTATGGGTCATCAGAAACGTCTCTGTGCACATGAGTCATCGGAATGCCTTATGGCTGTCCGTTTATGGGTCATCGGAATGCCTTTCCGACCGTCCCTTCATGGCTCATCGTATTTGTTAACGCTAATGAATGTGCCACGTATTATAATGTGAAATATATGAACTTTGAATACGAATATGACTACGTATATGAATCTATTTCTGTTTTGACATCTGATCACGTACAAGACTCTGTTTCTGTATGGACATCATTCAGTAAAATCTTTACTCTGTTATTATTGACTGGGCTCTAGCTTATTGTATTATTTATGTATGTAGGTGATCACGTGCGTGACCAGGCCTAGAGCTTCTGCTTGGATTCTGTTTTGTCAGCCAACCTATGTGCCTCTCGTGGAGGTTCCGGATATGTCTAGTGATTATGGTTAAGTGCATAAAGTTCAAGTTTTGTTTTCTTGTTTGGTTAAACAAGTCTTTACTTATTTTGTAAAAAGGGTTAAGTCCTTTTTTGTCTAATCTGTATATATATGATGATGTAAGGGTGACGTGTAAATATGTATACAAAAAGTTTAAAAATTTTCCATCTCATATAAGTCTGCAGAGCTTAATGGATGATGTATATTTGTTATTTGCTTCCGTTAGCCTCTAATATTAAGCTAATTTGTCTCAGAGGCCTTTGGTAATCCCAGGATTACTGGCCGGTTACGATGTTAAACCTATAGGGACGGGTTTGGGTCGTGACATTTTAAAGCTTGGGATTGTTACTTAGGGAGGGCTCCAAGGGGTACCCCAAGTTTGTAGAAGGGAGAGGTTATGGGCAAATTGGTCTAGACCCATTGGACCAAAAAATAACCACACGCGCGCAGCCGCTGTTTGTCTTGGCAGGCTAGGCTTGGGCGCGGGTGCGTGGTGTGAGGTTGGGTTGGGTTTGTCCGGTCCAAATTTTGACATTTCTGTTGAAATCTGCCTGTTTCGTCTGTACAGATTTCAAACCTGTTCGGTTTAGTTCAAAAACCCTTACCTGTTTAATTTAAAATTCAAACAGATTTGTATCTGTTTCAATTTAAACCGAAGAGGTATCATACCTGTTGGATTCAAACTAAACAGCCACCATTCCATCTATAAATAGCTAGCCTCTCATTTGATTCTTTCACTGAATTTTCGTCCTCAAAATCTGCTCTACTATCTCTACATTTTGCTGTATTATTTTATTGTGTGAAAGAGTATAAACACAAAGTGTGTTTGTTGTGTGAATAAATTGTAGTGTTGCATTTATTCGTTGTTGATCATTTTATCCTGGGAGATAGACGTCCGCAAATTTGAAAACGCCATGGAGATGACGAATCTGCTTTACAGACATAGTGTCAAACACTGGATTTGATCAGATTATTGTTCAAGAAATTAATCAACTAAGTTGTTAATTTATTTTTTGTTTTATTTATTTATATCAAATTTTGATTTTGTTTTTGTAACAAAATAAAATCTGTTTTTATTTATTTATTTTTATTTCTAGTTTGATTTTTGTAATCAAACATTTTCTCTTATTTTGTTTATTTCTTTGTTTGTTATTAATTACACAAACTCAATTTATACAGAATACAGTGAAGATTGTCCAACATATTCAAGGATCGAGTTGTATTTTGAGTTTGTGAGTTTTAAAATTATGATTTAAGTGTAAAAAATTTATTTGATGAAAAAATTTTGAAAAGAATTTTGAATTGAGTAGAAATTTTATGATATGACATATGATATTTGATAACAAAAGCTTATAACTCATAACCAAACACACAATTCAAAATTGTTAGAGTTATTTATTTTGATGATTTATTTAATTATGTTTTAATTTATTTGGAAGAGAAAAATAGAATCAACATTTATGTTGTTGATTTATTTAATAATGTTTTAATTTATTTAAAAGGAAAAAATAGAATCAAAATTTATTTTGCCCCATTATTTCTCACCTAAATCTTTATCCTAAATGTTGTTAGAATGTATTTAATATTTGATTAAATCAGGAGTTCAAACAATCCAAAAACAGAGGTTCAAACAGCCAGCACGGCAGCAGTTCAAAAGGTTCAAAAGGTTCAAGTGGAAGATATTCAAATTAGTAATGATGGAGTGGAAGATATTCAAATTAGTAATGATAGAGTACAACGGCTATAAATTCAAATGAATAGTTCAAAAAACTCAAAAGGTTCAAGTGAAAGATATTCAAATTAGTAATGATGGAGTGGAAGATATTCAAATTAGTAATGATGGAGTACAACAGATATAAACGGCTATAAGTTTCATTATATATACCAAAGCTTCTAATGTAAAAAAGTCACAAAAAATCAGAAAATATTCTTTAATCTATAATCACTCACATCTATTTTTTGAAAAAAATTCTCTGAGAAGTGTTCTTCAATTTTTGTTTACATCCTCTTTCAGAAACTATACATTGAGATGTATAAGTTTAAGCCCATCTTTCCTGTATGAGGTTTATAGAAAAATCAGAGTTTCATTTTTATATCTATCTTTGAGAGATAATTCTTGTAGCTTTTTGTGAAAGCAAAAACACATTTTTTTCAACCTTGTAAGAGTGTAGTACACTCAGTATTTTTGACTTAGAAAGTCTGTGTAAAATCCGTGGAGGATTGCTCCATTTGTAAAGAGGTTGCTAGCATCCCCGTGAAGCTAGAGCATAGTGGAAAATCTCAAGTGAAGCTTGAGGAGTGGACGTAGGCCGAGTTGAAACCGAACCACTATAAATTTATTTGTCTCTCTCTCTCTCCCTTATCTCTTTATTTTATTTAAATTCCTGTAATTATATTTCACATTTTCACTGTGCTAAAATCATTAACTGACATAGTTGTTAGAACACTTGTTTTAATTATTTTTATTTCATTAACTATATTTATCTATTGTTCTAGTCATAATTTTTATTAGGGTATTATTATTTTTATTTGTAAAAACCTAATTCACCCCCCTCTTAGGTTGTCTTTTGGATAACAAAAATTCTATTCAAAACTCAAAATTTTTAAAAAAAATTCCAATTTTTTTTATTTAAAATATAAAAAATAATAGGTGCCAATTGTTAAAAAAAAAAAAAAAACTGTTCTGGTCAATCGACCGAAGGTCCGAGAGGACGACCGGTTAACCCAAATTTTTTCGCCTTCAAAGAGTTTTCAAAAGTGAGTGTGAAATTAATTTTTTAAAATTCTAAACAAACAAAATACTCAAAAACAAGTAGTGAAAATATGTTAAGAGAAGCTAACCAAACACAACCTTTATTTGTCAGCTTCTGAATCCATTCCATACACCTCCATGACGATCACCGGTGATGGCATACATATTTTGGTTTTCCCTTTTCCTGCGCACGGGCATATGATCCCACTTCTGGACCTAACCCACACACTAGCTTCTCGTGGACTAACAATCACCATACTAGTCACCTCCAAACACTACAACAAAATGCACCTTCAGCGATTGAATTTGGCGACTAAAAAAAATTTAATCTTCAAAAATTATGAAATTGGCGACCAAAAATTGTTTGTCTGCAAAAGTAAAATATTTAGCCACTATTTTTTTTTTAATCGGAGTATATTAGTTCACTACAAGAAATTAAGGTTTTAAAGACAAATTTTTAGGAACAAAAATAATTTGTCTGTGAAAATTATTCTTTTAAAGACAAAATAAAAGAATTTAAAAGAAAAATATATTTAATCATGTTATTATATTTTCTAGACATTTTTTGCTTGATTGTAAAAAAATCAATTACTTTTCCCTATAATTTTAATCGGTCCCTAATAAACCCAACTCATATATTATTGTATTTTATATATTAATTTTCGAACTCAATAATTGGTACTATCAAAACAAAAACAAAAAAAGCATCAGGTTTCTTCCCTCACTCTCTCCTTTTCTCTCAAATCCTAATTTCTTTTCATATATCAGGTTTCAAATCCCTAATTTCTTTTCATCACTCACTCTCTATGGATTCAATATATGAACTCAATGGTTCTTCTCTACGGATTCTGATTTGTGGTTCATTATTGTCTCATAGCACCTCTCTCTAGGGCTGGATCGCTCCATTGCAGCCTTATCTCTTCTTGATTCCTTGATTTCCCAGCGACTTTCCGGTAGCGATTTCGATCAGGTACCATATATATATATATATATGTATATACATACATGTATGTATTCGTATAATCGATTTGATTTCCCAATTTTAGCCCTCGGTTTCATGCATGGTTTTGTATACATGTATTGATTCATGTTTGTTCAATCAAATTTACCAAATTGAAATATGCAGATCTAAATAATGATTTTCCATACTTCATCTTCTGGTAGGTAAGAATACCAGAAAGTAAGCGAGCAAAGAGGTTTACAATATTGTGGACTCAAAACTGCATCTAAATCTACCTAAAAAGATTTTCATCTTTGATCCTTAGCAGTAGCGTGCAGGACTAGTCTCAAGTTAAATTAGTTCTGTATTGATGTTGAAAAGATAACTCAGAGCTCCTTGTGTTCAGTGATTTGTAATCAAGTGTATTGGTTCAATGAATTGTGACATAATAAAGTGGAAAATAAAAACTACCCAAATCATATATTATTGTATTTTATATATTAATTTTCGAACTCAATAATTGGTACTATCAAAAACAAAAACAAAAAAAACATCAGGTTTCTTCCCTCACTCTCTCACTTTCTCTCAAATCCTAATTTCTTTTCATATATCAGGTTTCAAATCCCTAATTTCTTTTCATCACTCACTCTCTACGGATTCAATATATGAACTCAATGGTTCTTCTCTACGGATTCTGATTTGTGGTTCATTATTGTCTCATAGCACCTCTCTCTAGGGCTGGATCGCTCCGTTGCAGCCTTATCTCTTCTCAATTTTTTGATTTCCCAGCGACTTTCCGGTCGCGATTTCGATCAGGTACCATATATATATATATATGTATATACATACATGTATGTATTCGTATAATCGATTTGATTTCCCAATTTTAGCCCTCGGTTTCATGCATGGTTTTGTATACATGTATTGATTCATGTTTGTTCAATCAAATTTACCAAATTGAAATATGCAGATCTAAATAATGATTTTCCATACTTCATCTTCTGGTAGGTAAGAATACCAGAAAGTAAGCGAGCAAAGAGGTTTACAATATTGTGGACTCAAAACTGCATCTAAATCTACCTAAAAAGATTTTCATCTTTGATCCTTAGCAGTAGCGTGCAGGACTAGTCTCAAGTTAAATTAGTTCTGTATTGATGTTGAAAAGATAACTCAGAGCTCCTTGTGTTCAGTGATTTGTAATCAAGTGTATTGGTTGAATGAATTGTGACATAATAAAGTGGAAAATAAAAACTACCTGATTTTGCTGGATGAAATCATTTCATTCATTCTTGAAATCCTCTGAATTTGCTAGATGAAATCTTTTTGCACCCCTCTGTCCTTTAAATTTGCTGTATGATTTCATGTCATTGGTTTGGTTACCACAGATTTAAGCAAATTTTGAGGAAGGCTGAAACACAAATTTGTTACTAAGAAGAGTAGTGAATGAAAATATCAGGAATTATATTCATTATGTGGATTGGGAAATCTCATGTGTTTCCTCTTGATACACAGCTCTACACACCTAGTAGTCCGCTAAACTATATCTTTTAGGTGTAAGTCAGTTTCTATTAACAGAGCAAGGGCATATATATAGGACTAGAGAGCATCTCCAACCTTTCACCTTTTTTTCCATCAAATTCAAATTTGATGAAAAAGTTTCTCTTTTGGTCTATTCTGAATTTTTGCTCAATGTTAACTGGTTGTTTCATGTAGATTCAAGTATATTAATAATTCTTCAATGTATATTAGCCAATATTTATTATCAATTCACCCGCATCAAATTTTAGACTTTTGATACCGATATATCAATCGATATAGGAATGTATTACAAATATTTGTAAGTATCTCAGTACGAGTCTATGGCTTAATGTTGTAATGCATCTTGGGGTTTAAATAATTAGGTGCATTATGGAGGTAAATTTGATTCTCTTGAAGTGCTTTGCAATAGCATAGCTAGTTCTTGTGGTAAGTTTCCTTTGTGTTCTTCATTTTACTTTGTTTTTTGTGATTATTGTTAATCAAAAACTTTTTACAATGTGTTTTGAATCATGGTGAAAAGGTAAAATGGATTCTAATTTGACAATTTGATTGTTTGTGTTCCCATATTTCTTGTCCTTTACTTCGTTTTTGAAGGTACTGATTTTCTCTAATTATTAGTTCTTCTTGACGGACAATTGTGCGTACCAACTACTATAAACATCCGAATTGTTTTTCGGACATTTACTTATTGCATACTTCTTGATATCTTTGACAGCTATTGCGTCTGGGCGTGAACCTGAAGAAGTTCCCTACATCAACAGTACCTGCCACATTTGCCATTTTGTTCCATGTTGGCATTGGGGCAGTTCTCTCACTCTATCTGCTTTCTTGGTTAAAGGTCTGTCTCTTACTTTGGATTGCACTTATCCTTTCTTGGACCCTTGACTGCCCGCTAGTAGACTTGCCACTAGAAGTGTACCCTTTGTTGCATGGCAGTAAAGGGTAGCATTGACTTTTTAAGTAAATTGCTAAAGAGTTGGATATTAAAACCATTTCCCTCCTTGCTAGTTGACTGTTAATATTGTTATTTCTCTACAGTTGGATTTATTCACAACGTTGAAAGCGCTTGGTTTCTTGGGGATCTTCTTGATGTTTGTTGGACACAAGATCCTTTCTCACCTTGCCTCAACATCAGCCAAGTTGAAATCTGCCTGAGGAAATGAGAGTTTGTGCTTGCAAAGACAACATTCAGAACAAGGAAATGAGAGTTTGTTAATTGAGAGGGTAATTTATGTGAAAATTGGGCCGAGCTGGGTAATGGGCCGTTATGAGCCGCAGTACAAAGGGCCGAGTAAAATGGCCATGTAAGTTACTCCGATCGTGTAGATATTTTGAAGTTAGTCCGGTCTTAAGGCCGTGAAGCTAATCCGGTCCAACAGAAGATCGAAGTTAGATCGGTCTAACGGTACTTTGGAGTTAGACCGGTCTTGGACTTACACCGGTCACGACATGTTAATTCGGTCTAACCATGCCATGAGTTGTGCAAGAGAAGCCGATGTAAGAGCAGTAAAAGGAAGAACTACTTCGGCTTATTCTGCGGCTATGCATAGTCATGTTTACTTCGGTCATATTGGAGTTCGGCCATGATAAAACCATCTCACTTGGTTTAAGCAGTGAGGGGAGTGTTGAAGGATAAGCATTATCTTTCAGGAATATGAATCCTAGGAGGACTCTGCATGGAGAAGTAAAAGGCCTACTAGGATTGTGCCACACGAAATCTATAAGAGCTCACAAACATCACCTTTGGAGAGGTAACACAACTTTGCTTTCTGAATACACAGAGATTTTGTCTATTTGTCAAGCTTACTGACTTAGGCATCGGAGAGGTTTCCGGCACACACCCGCCGGCTAGCTCACGTTTGTGTTTTTAGGTGATAAAGCGGCGACGTACAGAGGAGCGCATACTTGATCAATAGGATTATACGAGAAGGTTTATTTCTTTCCCGTACAATTGGCGCCGTCTGTGGGAAAGCCAGACAGGACAAAACCTTTTGATCAAGCTTCACCTCTTTAGGAACAATGGCACACATTGAAGAATTACCACAGTCCGCCATCGACGGACAAACACCAGATGAGGGTGCAAGGCGTGAGGGATTACCTTCTATCCCTCTCATGGCGGACTTGGAGTCCCAACGACATAACTCTAGAAGAGATACTAGGGGGAGGCGGACTCACAGCCCCCGTCACTCTCATTCACCAAGTCCCGACAGGCAAAGGCGGAGGATTGATCCTCAAGTTTTGGAGGACCGCGTGAAGGAGCAAGACGACGTAATAAGGAAGATGGCGGCGGACATGGAAGCCTTAAAACGCCAGATGAAAGGAAAAGGAGTGGCGACAGGAGAGGGGCGCAAAAACAAGACGCCCCCTCGCCGCTCAGAAGACCATGAAAGGCATTCCACACCATCACAAGCAAAGAGTAGAAGCCTCAAGACAGGCAATACTCAATCTAGAACCTCCAGAACTCGTTACTCCAGGTCTGAGAGAACGAGATCATTAAGGTCTTACACAGAGGGAAGTACCTACCGACCCTTGCACTCGCACCAAACATCATCCAAACAGACGGAGTTACCCAGATCATTCGATTTGCGGATCATGCTGGAAGAAAAGGCACGATGGAAGGAGGACACCATGGCGCGCGACCCTCACAGAGTTTCTGCCCTTCAACGATTGACTCCTCAATCGCATGGAAGCGTCGAGGTTGGAATGCCATTACCACGCCCTGCTTACGAACCGACGGACAAAGCATTAGCAAGGCTGCAGACCTCGCTGTTCGTTTCGGCAATTGAAAACGCGCCCCTACCTACAGGCTTCCTTCAGCCCAAATTCACTACGTACGAGGGGAAGACAGACCCCCACATTCACCTAAGCCACTTTCGCCAGGTCATGGCGGTATATCGGCGAAACGAAGCCCTAATGTGCATCCTCTTCCCATCAAGCCTTGGCGATCTAGGCTTGACTTGGTTTGAAAAACTTCCAGAAGGCAGCATAGCCTCCTGGGCACAATTGGCAGAAGCGTTTGTCACAAGGTTCAGAACAAACACCAAAACCCCAGTGGAGATCGACCAGCTACTCTCCATTGACATAGGCGAAAAAGAAACATTAAGGTCCTACAATAGTCGCTACTGGGAGACATTCAACCAAATTGGGGACTGCCCTACCAATCTCGCCATTGCACAGTACAAAAGAGGCATTCCAGTCGGGAATAGACTAAGGGACTCGATCACCATGACACCACCCCTCACTATGGAAGCCTTGATGGAAAAAGTGCATCAGCACATCAGGGTAGAAGAAGATGGCGCACGTGTCAAAATAAAATCTGGCACAACCACAGTACCAGAAAAGAAAACCTCAGCAAAGGTCAATACGGTAGATCGTTAGAACCGAAACGGACGTGGCAGGCGTGACAATGGAGAAGACCCGGATAAAAGATGGTTGAGGGTCCGCACGGCCATAACCACAGTCTTCAAGAAACCGATCTATCGAATTCTAAGTGAAATAAGAGATGAGCCTTTCGTCAGATGGCCAGCCAAGCTAGGGGAAGCTCAGAAGGACTATGACGAAAGATCACGGTGCACCTTCCACAAAGAAAAGGGGCACCGCACTGAAAATTGCACGCCATTGAGACAGTATCTGGAGGAGTTGGTGGCAGCAGGTCACCTGGATAAATACATCGAAGGAGGGGCGCAACCAGCCCCCCAGGACCATAACCACCCCAACGGAATACCAATCGACGCCCCACTTCAAGGCGTTATCAATGTGATACATGGAGTCTTTGAGCCTGAGCGTGTATGTGAGCTCAGGGGATCAATCAAAAAGGCTGAACACTTAAGAGAGGTGCTAAGTGCCCAACCTGCCATCAAGAAGGGGAAGACAGAGGCCATAAACGTCATGTCTTTTTCGGATAAAGACTTGGAACGGATATATTGTCCTCACAATGATGCCCTGGTCATCACTCTCCGAGTCAAGGATTTTGACATCAAGCGGATTCTGATTGACCAGGGTAGTTCATGCGAAATCATGTACTACGAAACATTTAAACAATTGAAGCTACAAGACAAAGACCTGGCGCCAGCCGTATTTCTCCTAATTGGATTCAACTCCATACCAGAATGGTCCGTCAGCAAAATAATTCTTCCAGTCAGAGCAGGAAGCGTGACGAAACAAGTGGAGTTCTGGGTATTGAAGGTCCCCTCCACTTACAACATCATCTTGGGCAGAACATGGCTGCATGCCATGCGATCGGTGGCATCATCTTACCACCAAGTAATGCGATTCCCCAACTATACCGGGGTAATTGAAGAAGTCTATGGAGATCAGATCATGTCAAAGCAATGCTTCGTCACGGTGAATGGCAGCCGCGCTGCCAAAGGATACGTTCATTCGGTGGAAGAACCTGAGAGCAATGAGCTATTCACAGATGTCGGCAAAGCGGCGGATCAGAAAGCAGTGGAGGACTTGGTAGAGGTAAAAATAGATGAAAAGAACCCGGATAAGTTCTTTTTGCTCGGTTCGTCGTTGTCCAGCACCGAGAGATTAGAGGTCTTGGAATTCTTAACCTCTAACATCGAAGTGTTCGCCTGGACGCCCTACGGCATGCCAGGCATTGATCCAAACTTCATCTCTCACCAACTTAATGTCCACCCATCCGCCAGACCAATCATTCAACGCACACGCAGATCGGCACTTCACCACGCCGAGATAGTAGCGGAAGAAGTAGGTAACCTGTTGGAGGCAGGAGCAATTAGAGAAGTGCACTACCCAAGATGGATCTCCAACACAGTCGTAGTGCTAAAAAAGAATGGCAAATGGCGTGTCTGCGTCGACTATAAAACAGTCAACAAGGCGTGCCCAAAAGATAGCTTTCCTGTACCACAGATAGATCAACTGGTAGACCTAACGGCGGGGCACAACCGACTTAGATTTCTGGATGCATATAGAGGCTACCACCAAATCGCCATGCATGAACCAGACCAGGAGGTCACATTCTTTACAACACCAAGAGGACTATACTGTTACAAGGTCATGCCCTTTGGCCTGAAGAACGTAGGGGCAACATTTCAACGAATGGTCACCAAGATGTTTGAACCATTGTTAGGAAGAACGATGGAGGCTTACATCGACGACATGGTGGTCAAAAGCAAGGATGAGAATGACCATCTCAAGGACCTAGGAGAGATGTTTGAAATCCTGAAGAAGCACAAGTTGCGCCTCAATGCACCCAAGTGTGCATTCGGAGTAGGATCTGGCAAATTCCTGGGCTTCCTTGTAACCAACCGGGGTATAGAAGCGGACCCCTCCCAGATCAAAGCAATTCAGGATTTGGAGAGACCAAACTCAGTAAAAGAAGTACAGCATCTTACCGGCTTGGCAGCCGCGCTCAATCGGTTCATAAGCCGATCATCAGACAGTCTACGACTATTCTTTCAAACTTTAAAAGCCAAGTTCGAATGGGACGAAGAATGTGACCAAGCTCTGGAAAGCTTGAAAGAATACATGTCCTCTCCACCATTGCTGGTCACCCCAATACCAGGAGAAGAACTCTCCCTGTACTTGGCAGTCTCTCAGCACGCAATTAGCGTAGTGTTGGTCCGTGCGGAAGGAATTCAACATCTACCTATCTATTATGTCAGCAAGACATTGCTGGGAGCCGAAACAAGGTATTTGCCACTGGAAAAACTGACATTAGCCTTGATGATGGACTCCAGGAAATTGGCACACTACTTTCACGCCCACACCATAATCGTCCTCACAGCTTTCCCGCTAAAAGCTTTGTTTGAGAGGGCGAACTTCTCTGGGCGAATTTTGAAGTGGGCAGTAGAGTTGGGACAATTCGACGTCAAGTTCCAACCTAGAACCGCAGTAAAGGCCCAATCTTTGGCAGACTTCGTCGCAGAGTTTACTCCTGGAAGTCATCATATCTGCCCAGTCGACCTAACTGACACAACCAAACTAGGGATAGAAGTTGACGCCGGAATTGCACAACCCCTAGCAGAAGGTGCTCAGTCAGACTACAAGGCAGACCAGACTAAAGACAGCAGGGAAGAAGCAAACCAAGACTCACCAACAAATAAAGACTTGGTACAATCAGATAGCGAGAGGCAGACAGCAAGCATGGACCTTAAAGAAAACACTAGCAACATTCTTAACCCCACGACATCATTCGATCCCTCCACTTGCTGGAAGTTGT